CTCAGTTCCACGTTAATTGTGACGTACAAAAGAAATGTGTGGATTCAGGCGTACGCACAGTTTGATACATCTGGATTTTTTTGTGCGTACGCCGTTTTCTGGATTTGACCGTACGTCAGGTTTCAGTAAGAAATCCACACAAGTCTTTGTACATGAGGCCCCTGGTCTGTATGAAGGAGTGATGAAGTGGCTTCTGCAGAACCTGAAGACTGAAACGTGGGATAGTGGGATGTTTGTTTTTAAAATATTGTAATTAACTGTTTGATTGAATGCTGTTTGTCTGTTAACAAAATATTTCATAACCCACTGACATGAAGCATTCCTTCAAGGAACACAGAAAAACAGATTAGATTAATCAAAAAGAAAAAAATAAGTAAGTCGTCTGGATGGGTTCTTCTTTAGTGATTAGATGAACCAATTTCTCAATCAGAAGTCGCTCTAGCAGTTGCTTTTATGCAGTCTAGCAAATGCCCGGGTCCGGATGGTTTTCATTCGGATTTCTTTAAAAAAAAATTCATGTCTACTTTTGGTGAAGCTCAGCTCAACCCTTACTGATTGTTTTAAACAAGAATCCCTCCCTCAATCATTCTACGAAGCATGTATCACACTTATTTCAAAAACGGAGAAGGATCCAACAGACTTCACCTCATATAGACCAATCTCTCTTCTAAAYACAGAAGTCAAAATTTTAGCCCAGATCTTAGCACGCAGGCTTGACTCTGTTCTTCCGTCTATTATTTCAAATGACCAAACAGGTTTCATTAAAGTTCACCAGTCATATTTTAATGTGCAAAGACTACTTCACGTCATCTATTCTAGCTCCACAAACTCGGCTGAGTGTGTCGTCTCACTTGATCCTGAAAAAGCCTTTGATCGGGTCGAGTTTAACTATTTCTTTGCAGTACTTAACAGATTTGGCTTAGGAAAAATTTTTATTTCATGGATTAATTTTTTTGTATCAACGGTCATCAGTTACAGTTCAGACAACTTCTCAGATTTCGAAACCATTTAAATGATAAAGGGGCACCCGTCAGGGTTGCCCTTTTAGCCCTCTGCTCTTTGATCTGGCCATAGAGCCCCTAGCCATTGCCTCACGTGCCAGCACTGAAATATCCGGCATTTGGAGGAATGACATAGAACACAAGGTGTCTCTTTATGCAGATGATCTTTTACTTTCCATCTCCAAGCCATCAACTTCATTGCCCTCTGATCTCATTTTATTAAACAAATTTTGGTGGTTTTCAGGATACAAGTTGAACCTCACCAAAAGTGATATTATCCCTTTAAGTAGCAAAATGACTTGGTTGGACTTTAATAACTTGCCATTGAGAATTGAAGAACAGAAGTTTACATATTTGGGTATCACAGTAACAAAGGAACATAAAAACCTGTTCAAAGATAACTTTATTCCACTAGAAAACCATGTGAAGTGTGCCCTTTCAAGGTGGACACCACTCTGTATGTCCTTGGTGGGACATATCAATTCAATTAATATGACTATATTACCGAAATGTCTATACCTTTTTCAGTATTTACCAGTTTTCATTTCAAATAAGTTTTTCAACRAGCTAGACTCCATTTTCTCATCATATATCTGTCAGGTAAACGCCCAAGGCTTAATAAAACACAGCTTCGAAAATCCAAAGAGGAGGGAGGGTTAGCCCTCCCTAATCTGTGGTTTTATTATTGGTCTGCAAACCTGAGATGCTTAATTTTCTGGTATTCCCACCATAACTCAAATGACTGTCCTGACTGGGTGACTATGGAATTACACAACAATAATAATATATCCATTCCAGTTTAGGAAGCAAATCCTCTTGTTCAGGTGGGCAAAGTTTGTTGCACCAAACTAAACTCAGAAGCTGGAACTGTTGCTGAACGTTCTTCAGCTTAGGACTAAAAGTCTGATGTTTTCTTACAAAAAGGTATACAGTTCTGTTTTTAACGTATGAAAGAGTACGTAAGAAGAAAAAAATTGTAATTAATTATTCATCAGGCTACAACAAAACATGAWTGAAACGTGACCCCTGTCTGAACCTTCTGTACTCCTCTCTTTCCTCTCACCACAGCCTCGTCCTTCATGCTGATGGACGGGGAGAACCAGTGTCTGAAGGCAGCGCAGGACTGTGGTCTGTATGAGAAGTGTGGCTCTCTGCGCTCCGAGTACGTCCTGGCCTGCACCAAACCCGTGTCCGGGACCAACCGATGCAACCAGTACAAGTGCCACCGGGCTCTCAGGCGCTTCCTGGAGCGGGTACCTGAAGAGTACAGCCTGGGGGTCCTGTTCTGCCCCTGCACCAACCCCTTGTGTGGTGAGAGGAGGAGGAAGACCATCGTGCCGTCCTGCTCCTACCAGGACATGGAGGGTCTGCAGCCGAACTGCCTCCATCAGCAGAGCTTCTGCCGCCGAGACGACCTGTGCAGGTAAAACCTAGAATCTCTCTGCGCTGCACTTCTGGCAGCAAAATGTGAACATCTTTACCAAGGTGCATGGTTTTCAGATGGTTCAAGAATGTCCATGATGGCTCAACTTCCTGCCATGCGTCCCAGTCTCTTCTGACACAGGAAACAAACATTTACACAAAAATACAGTTCTCAAATGAGTCACAAAGTCACCCTGGGCAGCTGAAATCCATCTCAGATGTATCTAAGTACAATGCAAAAATAACAAAAACATAATTATGGGGCAGAAAATGAAACAAAGTAGTGAATTCATGAATCAAGAATAAAACATGTACATGGATAACAAGTCTGTTTCTGTTGTTCAGTGAAAAGACATTTGTTTTGTTTGTAATCTGTTTTTAGATTGTACAGATACAGAACTGTCTGTAAAAACATGAAGAGCCAATATCCTGAAAAACAAACTTAAATTAGTCTTATTGACAGTAATATTGGTAGCAAAAAACTAAACAAAACAAAAATCAGTTACAATATTTAAACTGATAATCCCAGAACAAACCTTGAAGGATGCCGACACAGCCATGACACAGAAACTGACCCAATCACACCGAACCCAACCCAACCACACAATTCACCCACACATCACATGAGCCACATGAGAAATGCAAAAAGAACAGAGACAAAAGGTGTAACYAGTGCTACACAAATATTACACCAATGCTACACCAGTGTTATGCAGATCCTACACCAGTGCTACACAAATGCTACATCAGAGCTACATCAGTGCTACACCAGTGCTACACCAATGCTACACAAATGCTACATCAGAGCTACATCAGTGCTACACCAGTGCTACACCAATGCTACACAAATGCTACACAAATGCTACGTCAGTACTTTACAAATGCTACATCAGAGCTACGTCAGTGCTACACCAGTGCTACACAAATGCTACACAAATGCTACGTCAGTACTTTACAAATGCTACATCAGAGCTACGTCAGTGCTACACCAGTGCTACACCAATGCTACAC